TGTTTCCTGGCGCATTTGCTACATACGGAACTCGAATTGCATTTTGCAACTAAATGCTTATCGCTTAAGCAGTTCAAACATAGGTTGTTTGTCTTTACTAACTTATAACGTTCGCTTGGTGAATATTTACGAAAAGTCGCACAATTATATAAATTACCGTGTTTATCTTTACATACTATACAAGTATGCTGGAGTGATGTTGGCGTAGCGGTTACGTAAGTTAACGACCCTGCTATTTTAGATGGTTGAGTCTGTCTACGGTCGACGCACCTTTTAATCTCCTGTTTAACGTTCGGAGAGCGCTGCATCACCTTTATTTGATATCGCACGAACGATGCTAATGAATGAAAGGAAGGCATCTCCGAGCTACGATGCTCCATTTCAAACGCACGCACGGTGTCGGGGTCTAATTTCTTTAATGCAATATGGAGAAACACCACGTCCATAAGGTTATTAAACTTCAAATTCTTAAGTGCAGCCACCGATGCCACAAATTTATCTAGAAACTGCTCTAAGCCGTTGATGTTCGCGGATGATATAGGTTTAAGATCGAATATCTGGTTCAAATATTCGGAAGCTAACATTCTCCTATCTTCATATTTAGTTTTAAGCGTTTCAAATATTAATAAGTAATTGTTTGCTGTAGGTGTAAAACCCGAGCAGATCGACTGTGCTCTGCCACTAAGTTTACTAATTAAGTAATATAATTTTTCAGCGTCCGATAACGATGAGTTGTTGTGTATATTGTTTTGAAAACTACTGAAGAAGAAGGGCCACGTCTTAATATCACCATTGAATACCGGAATATCTATTGGCGGTAACCTAATTGAGTCACGAGGACGTACCTGTATTTCCGGCTTTGCTTCGCTTTGAGATTGTAGGAGTTTTGCAGTTCTTTTCACGCGACACAACATATCTTCGAATGCCAGCAGCGGTTGGTAGTTCACTATGTATTTCGGGTCGATTTGTAATTCCAAATGATTAATTTGGTCTAATATTCTTTCGTAATCTATCCGCAAAGAATCTATCGTTTCGATTTCATTCAAAAAGGTTTCCCGCACTGCTTCTATATTAATGTTCTTTATATAATCACTTATATTCTGCATACGCGAAAAGAGTATGTCCCTCTTGGCATAAAGCGTTTTAATTTTGATTTCACTTCCACTAACTGCCATTTTAAATTATTATAATAAAGTTATATTAATCACAATTAATCTCACACGCATAAACGATGGACGATGGACACTCGGTATGCCGTATTCCGTAATTAAATCGAACACCTGTTGCAGTCGAGGCGACGCGTTGCTACACTCAATAATTTTATCAGAATTGTGGGGTAAGCGTATCAAACGGTTGCTATCACACTGTTTCAATTTTAAAGCTTTAAATTTAACCAAATACGAGCGCTATGAAATAAACAATTCTGTTTGCGAGTGCCTAATCAAATTTTAAATTTAAACGAACACTATTTACACTATTTACGAACACTAATTATTCGACCAGAAGATGGTTGGATGACCACTAAGCAAATCCAAATCCTGCCCGAAGTGACCATAAAATGGTGGAGCCACGTGTCTAAGGCTGCCGAAAATCTAGTTCCCCGGTCGAACCTTAAACGTATTACGCGAGATATTAACTAAAGTGGACTGTATATGCGATTGCTTCTACGCTTACGTAAAAGCGACTACTATAGCATGCGGTACAATGCACTCGCTCTTCCCTAAACTAAAACTATTACTTGCCAAATCGATGAAAGGAATCCTGCTTGATTAGGAAAACACAAAATTGGAGCGGGTTAAATCTATTATATCAAGCAGGTATAATATTGGATATTGACTCACCGGGATGTTTCTTCTATGCGGTCGATCACTATAACTGCGACTTCTGGAACCTCTTCTGGACAGACACTCTGGAGAGAGGCGGTGCGCGACGATATCTCACACGAGGTGAGGCGGGTTCCTGGAGCTCGACTGCTTCCAGGCTAAAGCGGTTTCTACTAGTGATGTGTTTCCAACAACGGCTGCGGCGGGAAGAAGAGCGTTGTAGTTTCAACGACGGCTGCGGCGGGAAGAAGAGGCCGCGCATCGGTCGCGCGTGCCTTATATATCCTCGGCTCCGATGATTACGCGATGTTCTAGAATCATCTTCTTTCCCCTCCCACCCCACCACCCCGATGTGTCGATAGGAGGGTACGAATGATATCGTTTGGGAAGGGATAACGATTCGGCAAGTCCTACCGTCATATAAAATAAAATGAGAAATGGTTTTCCGCGCAACCAGAGTCTAAGAGGCAAAAAAAGCTTCCATCTGGATCTGGATCTTCCAAACATACGCCATATGTGTATTACAGGAAATTAAAATTTCTTGCGAATTCTACAGCATATAATGACACAGAGAGCAATTACCAATCTTCTGGCACAACTGGTTCAGATGTAGATAATATTATAGACAATGCAGACTTGATGCCACCTCCTGATCTGAAGGCCCAAAGAAAAGACAGAAAATAAATGCTGTAGATAAACAAATAGTCGACATTTTACAGAAAAGTTTAAATGCAAGGGAACAAAATGAAATGGGGCGACTAACTAAAGAAGACGATGATAAACTATTCTGTTTATCATTGTACAGTGAATTAAAAAAAAGTGCCCGAAAATCGACGCTTAACTACAAAGATTGAATTACTCAATGTCATTAAAGAAGCACAGAATTATCATCAATCATTACCACTAGAAACTAATCATCACCAATACACATATTCTACACCGACATATTCTGGATATACTACTGCTAGACCCTCAACAACACAACAGTGGTCTACCACGCCGCCACCACCGCCGTCATCATGGTCACCGTCACGTTCAGCCTCCAGCCAAGATTCAGACAACTTAGATTTATTTGAATAAACAAATATACTTACCTTAACGTTATCACGAGTTTTTCTTCTGCGGAAATCGAATCTCTCAAAATCGTTGAATCACCAGTAATATCTACTTTAATAACATGGAGTAAGTCATCAAATGATTTTATGGACATTCTAAAATAATTAAAAAACTTAGGTTCATATTGCCTTAATTTTGGATACAATGTTACAAACATTCCATGCGTCAGTCTATCTCGTAATATTGGGTGCACCCAATATTCTCTTTGCCTCTGCCGTCGTCTTTTATAGCGACGGTATAGAAGCCACACACAAGCGATCACTTCGACGTCCATTTCCGAACTGAACTAGTAGTATGGACACCTTGGTAACGCTCGTTAAACGCCGTGCTAAGCGCGCTGTATGTATGCTACAAGCGCGCGTCCAACGCAACGCCGAGCGCCCAATGTGTACCCGCTCTTAAACACAATTTTTCCCGTTGCCGACCTCGCTGTCCCGTCAAATCTAACGGGAAACCCGTCAAGTTGACAGCACTGGTTGCGCGAGTGTATTGCCAGCCAGCCAGCTAATATTGTCAGTCCTTTGACTCGCGCCCAAAAAAACCTACAAAACAAGGAGTAATGGGCACTAGGAGCATGACGCGCGGCATGTAGAGTTGCCCAAATGCAAGAGCACAGACTACTAAGAGAATAATACGCATTGCAACAACAAGACGAGACTTAGCCAGCCTTGGTCTTGGTCTTGCGCCAGTACACTTTCGTATTTCTTCAACTGTGATAGGTTTCCATCTCTTTAAGCAGTCGCTTAGGAAAGATTCAAACGATTAATGTTAACTTGGAGAGCACAACGAGTCATTTCAATTTCCATCAATAGAACAACTTCGTTATCCACAATCTCAGCAAAATTGATCCAAAGGTCAGAGTTTTCTGAAAACAATCGACCTTGGCGTTTACCTTTATCGTAAACTGTGAAAACTTCATATGGCAATTCTCTTATATTATTTTGCCAAGGGGTAGGAAGCAGTACGGGTGGAATAACAGGTGCAACGAGGTAAGTAGCTGGCACAGTGAAATTATCATCAGACAAAAGTGTTACTATCACGCGACACAGGGTTAGTGTCAGGTTCGAAAGCATATGAAATGCATGTAACATATTTAACTAAAATCCCTGGTAGACCCAATAAATAAATGAATAAATATGCATTTACACCACCTGGATTAGAGTCATCGATGAATTATTAGAAAGTATTACCTACTCCTCCATTGGAAGAAAAGCATTTGCATCGTAAGCACCTGATTGTATGAAGTCTTCTTGTTCCATGAAGTTCTGACTGGCTAGGTCTTCAGCTCTTGCATAAAATCGTCCTCTCCATAGCTGTCTTCTAAAATGTGTCGCATTTGTTTATCTGATAATGGTCTCGACATCTTTGCACATTTTGCACATTCCCAACAAAAGAATTCAAAACAGAACACAGTATAATTTCGTAAAACATTTTGACAGTAGAATCAGCTGAGTAAAAATTGTAACTTTAGTCAGGGTTACTGTGGCAAAAAACAATAAAATTTTATTTCAAACGTCCATGCATTACAAGATATTCATACTAAAATTCAGGCCTCCTATTTAATTAAGTTATAGGCACCCTTCTTAGGAACATAAATTGAAACAGTTTTAAAAAAAAACATTATATACATATACCATACCACAAAATTACGCAAAATAGACAGGACAGTCAACGTGTTAAAGTTGCAATGGTGAGTGTAGAAAACTGGAGATATTTTTGATTAGTAATAAGGCATTCTATCTGAGTTCATGACATTTCCGCATTTTATTTCTTAATCGAGAATAGATGTATGAATGAATGATGACCACAGCATCCACTTACCATTAGAAGGACTGTATGCTCGTCGTTATTTTATATAAAAAATATATTTAGCTTTACTGTTATAATCATATAAAGGTGTAGAAAAAAAAACAATTTTCACATTTATAATTTTTACTGCAGTTATTAAATATTAAGTTCAATAAAGAAAGTGTAATTTTTCATTTAGAAGAACATGTTTGAACAATGCTCTTTATAAATTTAATTCCTACAAAACTTTATTCAGTTTTTTCTTATGAAGTCTTAAGGTTTTTGGCTGCTTGTAGGCTCTGTTGAGTCAAGGGCTGAAGAAATTTTGTTATATACCACTGTTGCTGCATTACTTGTGTGTGTAGGAAGTTCTACAAGGAATTCAAATGTTGTTTTTACGCCACAGTTCCAATAATACTTAAATAAATATGATATTCTATCATTTGATGGCAGTGGAGGTAACTGAAAAAAAAAACATAATGGTACATATTTTTAGATACCATTGTACTTCATTATAGTCTCTGCGTTGTAGCATGGTGTGAATGACACCTCACGCCTATGAAGTTTCATATTTTTTTAGGTAAAATGTCATACAGATATTGTTGTACTTCATGGATGGGTACCGCCTGCTTACGATAGTGACATGCCACATAAAACTGTGCCATGTCATAACGATCAACCGTAGACTATCAAAAATCAGTTTTGAAATAAATCGAATATATATAAAAATCATGAGAATTGGAACTAATTGTTCAAAAAATTCTGATTTACGGAAACAACGCAAACGACGCATATGCAGTGTTTCCGATGCATAGATGATAAATTATTCATCGGTCAACTCAGGCGAAAAAAATAACTATAAAGCAATTTGCGCATTGTGTCCAAAAAGACTTTATCATAACTCATGGCGGCCAGAATGGCTACAAAAAACCAATTTTTTTATTTTATTACATATTTATACCAAATTCTCGATTATTTTTACCTTCCATTCCGATATTTGGCCCATATTATAGTGAAAAAATTACAGATGCTGGCAGCTATTTTATTTGTTTAAATGTCAATATGAATGTTGCAATCAATATGAAATAGATGATTTTAATTTACAAATTAAAACATAGTATAATCTATACATTGAAGTGTCTGTTTATAATATCAAAATGATAGTCTTTTATTAAATGTATATGAAAGTATATATGGTATTTATAACACAAAGACAAAAACAATTTTTAAAATGTTTCTCTGTCTGTTTGTTCTGGCTTATAGCTGGCACTGGCAGATAGCTGAAGTCATAAGGAGTAACACAGGCTATGTTTATTTTAGAAAAAGAATTAGAAATCCACACAAAAAAAAAAATACCCATGAAATCAAATTGTAATAAATATTAAGCAGGCGAAGTCACAGGAACAGCTGTTATGTAACTAATTATTAGAGATGGGCCAAATATTCAGTATTCGGCATATTTGGCAGGTTTACCGAATATTCGTATTCGGCCGAATATTCGGCTAAATCACCGAACATTCGAACCGAACATTTTCATAGTGTCCAATGTATTGAAATGTACGAATTAAGTAATGCGATGTACTTTACTGTTGAAAGTATATTTTATTTATGGGTTAAATCTACTTACTCTAAGAGTGCCTCAAATGCATAAATCTACACATTTATGTTTTTGAGGCACTATGTATTTATTTCCGATTATGGCAAATAGACACTTCATAAAATGTTTTTGGAATCAAACAAAGAAACATTAAATTACATTAGTACATTTCACTTTACTTTGGTCGTCAGTTCCTCTAAAATAAGTCCAAATAGTAAATCTCCTGCTGCTCATTTTTATCACATAATTATCAATTTTCACTAAGAATAAAATTCTTACGGCTCTTTACCTTATTCACTAAGAATAAAGAGCCATGGTACCTCAGATGGTTAGTGCTCGCTGTAAATTTCACAGTGCACGACCAAACCGAGTTCGATTGCAGCTGGCACCAATGAAATTATTAATTGCAATTTTAAGTGCTGACTTACAAAAATTTTGAAAACATCGTGAGGAAACCTGCATGTCTGAGAAATAAGAAAAAAATTATTTCGAAGACATGTAAAGTTTGCCAACAAGCATATTGGGGCAGTGCGGTGGACGATTTCATGCACTATAATCCTCTAAGAAATGAGCAGAGGCCTGTGACCAGGAGTGGGACATATACAGGCTATAACTTTAACTTTAATTAAGAATAAAACAACGAAATACTTTTTTATCACAAGAATAGTCAAAACATAAGCATGTGCCGGCAATTTGCTCAGTACTAGATAATGCAATAACATGTCAGGTGTGGCGGGAATCGAGAGGCAGGGTCCGGCGCTAATCCCGTGTGCTTTACGGTAACAAGTTTCGACATAAATTGGTTAAGTCCCGAGGTTATCCTGCCGAATAATGTTCGGCCGAATATTCGGTTCGGTAAAAATTTTACCAAATATTCGGCCGAATATTCGTATTCGGTGAAATCCATATTCGGCCCATCCCTACTAATTATGTCATAAATTGTATTAAGCTTTAACTTAATTTTACATGCAATGTAGTTTATAACGAAATATATGTTTCGGTTTTAATTTTTCTATCAATAGCTAAATGATAAAATTTTCTCTGTTTTGTGTATCATCATCTTTTTTAAATCGATTTAACATTAATCCATCTCTAGACATGAATAACTGCAGACTGTATAACGCAAAGACTATAGATGTATGTATATATGTTCTACCCGCCTCCCAAATATTAAGTTTGGAAAAAGATTTTAGGCAATACAATCACAATTAAACAATGAATTACTATACTCCTTAGCTACGACAAACTTATAACCTTTATGATTTTTTTAAATATATACATGTACCTCGACAGGTATTTTCTGTTTTAATTCACCGACATAGGGTGACATTCCTTTTTCCAATTCTTCATATAATACTTGAGTAGTAGCACTATCCTTCCATACACCCTTGTCCACAGTGTAATATACTGCTGATCCTAATACAGCAGATTTAATACCAAACCTGTATTGAATTTATTTTTAATTATTATAGAATTAAGAATGATATATATTTAATATATACTACGATATTTAGGTAAAAGTGATTTACTTTAACATTTTGCTGTTTTAATATTCATTAACTGTATGTAATACAATGGTACATCGGTTTTATTAATAATTATATAATACTTTTCCTAGTTCGGTTTTGGTTTACGCCAAGTTTACGCAGTGAAACTGACAGTTGACACCAGTTGACACAATACCTTATTTTTAATATGTAGCAGGCAAAAGTCTTCGATCATATGCTTTGTATTTTTTTCACAGAATTTTACAATACACTAAAAACTTACATTGACCTATTCTAATGACCAAGCGGACAGTTGACGACGTGTGATGACGATAACATCAATATAAATCAATTCTAAAACTTGAATCTCGTTCAGAGTTTAAAATACCAAGAAATTTAATTTCACTTTACTGTAAAAAGCGTCTTTCTAAACCTATTTTGGTATTATTTAATGTTTTAAAGATAATTAACTTTCTTTAGGAAACAAAAGTCTGTTGAAAAAAGGAAGATGATGGGATCATTATCTTCCTCCGTCAGTTTACATGAAGAAATACTTATGGAAATTGAAAATAATTTAAGCATTTATATAAGTTAACAATATTAAATAAAAGTAATATTATTTTCCCTCGACCTAATATAAGTATATTGCAATGTATTCTACAGTAATAAAATAAATTACATTCGTTATAATCTTGGTACATTAATTCGTTATCAAGCCCTTTGATCAAGGGATGTTATGAAACCTAAAGTGTGGCAGATTGAACGTACAAATCGCTTGGTTTTAGATTGATCCCGCTGTCGATCTACTGCCGTCGACTAGAGGTCAAACCTGTTGAAATAGTACACCCCCCATTGCAATTAAACCCAATCAAAAAATTAGAAACCTTCATACGAAGCTTGTTTTGTTTAAAAGAACAATAATCAATAAAAGAGATTAGAATGGCTTCCCAGCACCTTAAAAACGGCAAGTCCCCGAGCGAGGATGGAATTACAGCGGAGCTTCTGAAAGCGGGTGGAAAACCGGTACTTGAAGTCCTTCAGAGGCTCTTTAATTCCGTCCTCCATGGTGGCACTACTCCTGAGGCGTGGAGCAGAAGTGCGGTGGTCTTGTTCTTCAAGAAAGGTGACAACGCCCTCTTGAAGAACTACAGACCGATATCCCTTCTGAGCCGCGTCTACGTGCTGTTTTCGAGAGTCATTACGAATCGTCTCGCACGCAGACACGATGACTTCCCGCCTCCTGAACAAGTCGGTTTCCGAAAAGGCTTTAGTACCTTAGACTACATACATACCCTTCGGCAAATTGCACAGAAGTCCGAAGAGTACAATCTGCCACTTTGCCTGGCGTATGTGGACTATGAGAAAGCCTTTGATTCCGCCGAAATTTGGGTGGTGCTAGAGTCTATTCAGCGGTGTCAAGTTGACTGTCGGTATATCGAAGTGCTGAAGTGTTTGTACAGTAGGGTTACGATGGCTATCCGAGTACAGAACCAGAGTACGAAACCTATCCAACTGCAGAGAGGTGTAAGACAGGGTGATGTTATTTCCCCGAAACTCTTCACCGCTGCATTGGAAGACGTTTTCAAGCTACTGGACTGGAAAGGATACGCTATTAACTTGAATGGTGAGTACATCACTCACCTTCGATTTGCCGACGATATACTCCTTACGGCAGAATCGCTGGAGGACTTAAGCACTATGCTCAATGACCTCAATAGTGCCTCCCAACGGATGGGTCTTAAGATGAACATGGACAAAACAAAGATCATGTTTAATGTCCATGTCACACCTATGCCGGTAGTTGTTGGGAGCACTAAGCTCGAAATTGTTGACGAGTACGTTTACCTGGGACAAATAGTCCGACTAGGTAAGTCCAACTTCGATCGAGAGGTCAATCGACGGATTCAACTCGGCTGGGCAGCGTTCGAGAAATTACGAAACATCTTCTCGTCAGGTATACCTCAAAACCTGAAAACTAAGTTGTATAACCAGTGCGTGTTGCCAGTGATGACCTACGAAACCGAGACGTGGTTCTTTACTGCTGGCCGTATGAGGATGCCCAAAGTCGCTCAGCGAGCTATGGAGAGGGCTATGCTCGGAGTTCTCTGCGTGATAAACTTAGACATGAGGATATCCGCAGTAGAACCAGAGTGACCGACTTAGCCCAACGGATTAGTAAGCTGAAGTGGCAAGGGCCGGTCATATAGCTCGAAGAACCGACAAGCGTTGTGGAAAAAAGGTACTCGTACCGGTAGGCGAGGTGTGGGGTGACCCCCCACTAGATGGAGTGACGACCTGGTAAGACATGCTGGAAGTCGATGGATGCAGGTGGCTCAGGACCGTGCTTTGTGGCATACCTTGGGGGAAGCCTATGTTCAGTAGTGGACTTGTGAAGTAATGATGATGATGATGACGATGTTGTATTTATTATTTACTCACGAAGTCAGAACATAAGAAATAGCATTTATTTAGAATCACATCATAATCATCCATCCTCACCTTTCTGCCCTCATCGCAATTGATTTGATTTTTGCAGCATGTTTTCTCCTCCGCATCGCATGCCTATAGCGTGGTAGAGCCATGCAATAGTTAGTAGTATAGTTGTAGCATGAATGGGTCGGCTCGACCGAGGAAGGACCACGCTCTCACAGAATACCAGCGTAAAATAGTAGCTTAATGCTGCTGAGTTTCGTATGGTGAGTGTAGACAACCGGAGATCCTTTTTACTGGAAACGAGGTAATCCATCTTAGTCTTCATGGCTAACAACGCATCTGCATTGATTCGTAATCGAGGGTAGATGTTTATGATCCACAGCGACCACTTACTATCAGATGGATTGTGTTCTCGTTTTTCAGCATATCCTATAAAAGTAAAACTTATCGATAACAATCGATAGGTTTTTTATAAAATTATTTAGAATTAATTAAATTATTAATTAACTATTTAGAAGTTATGATAATTTAAATATGGTAATGTTTCTAACGCTGGAGTAGAAAAATAAAGCAAAATAAATCGATTACCATAATGGTTTATTCTGTCAAAATCAATGCAAAATTTACAGCCACGTTTCAAAATGTCCTCCGCTGTGTTGTAAATAAGCTGTTGCTCTAATTGACACATGTTGTGTAGCGCGTTGGATCATGTCTTTGTCCCAACTTGTATATTTTTTTAATAATGTAGGCGGAATTAATGTCTGTTTCAAAGTCTTTCATAATAATTTTCTTTGTTTTGTCCACCGCTTTTGCCCAATCAACCTTTGTGACATGGACACATGCTTCTTACAGCAAACCTTCCATCTTCTTCATAGTGACAGTTGGCTTGGTGTTGTGTCGAGCTGCATGACCTGTAAAAGCATAATATCTAATGTGTTTAATTAGAATTAATATGTTTGCAAATAGAACATTTTATGTAAGAATTAGCCTGGAACTTTATTAAGGGCCCAAATTAATTTAATATCATTGTATTGGCAGTGGTATGGAGGTAGTAATGTTGCGCGCCTAAGTTGACGTAATGTACCCGGCACTAGCGCAATCTAGTGTCGGGGACGAGAGTGAGGGGAGCTTTCCAGAAAATGACAACACTAATCTTTCAACCGACAGCGCCATCTAGTATCTAAACGAAGAACTAAGCTTCTAGAAGCCCGACACTCGAACCTTCGACGCTTAGTCGATTGGCGCGTGTATTTACTTGAATATTCTGGATGTTTCGTTAATAATGTGTATTTAAAGGCGCTGCAAGATGCGATCGGGGAAGTATTGAATTTGGCGAGACAAGCGAAGCTTCGGAGCGGAATAAAGTGAATCAGTGTGATTAATTACTAGCGTTTTAAATTTAATTAGTGTAAAGTGAATTAAAGTGTTAATTTTGGTAATTCAATCGGTAATTTTTATTGTCACGAACACTAAGCTCGTAACAATTGGTGTGTTGTGGGATAAAATCATGCAGATTTTACCTAAGGAGGAAACGGAGGGTGTCCGTACCCGAAGTCAACGCCAGCAGGAGACGGACCAAAGAAGATTTGGTGGTACAACGCCACAGACGTCGGAGGGCCAGCCGTCGGCTGCAGGCCCGTCAGTAGCTCCTACATCTACAGCACCTGACTTAGGTGCTCTGATGGTGATGCTGCAGGAGCAGGCTCGCTGACAGGAGGAGCAGGCCCGTTGGTTGAAAGAGCAGCAGGAGGAACAGGCTCGTCGACAGGATGAACAGGCCCGCCGACAGGAGGAACAGGCCCGTCGGTTGGAAGAGCAGCTCAAGCGCGATAAGGAAGAGCACATGCTCCTCATGAAGGACATTTACGCTACCTTCGGGAAAGAGATAAGGGAGGTGAAGGATAAGGTTGCTCAACATGACAACCGCCTGTCGGAAGCTGAAACCTGAATCGACCAAGTGAACAATCGGGTTGACAACATAATGGCTGACATGAAGAAATCACTGGACGAACTCAAACTTGGGGATGAAACTACAGCTCCCGTAGTAGCTACTACACCTTCGCTACGTGGGTTCAAGGTGCCAACGTTCGAAGGGACTTCTTCCTGGTCAGCCTACAAAATCCAGTTCGAGGCTGTTATGAAGGCGAACGGCTGGAATAAAAGTCAGGCCATGACTGCTCTCACACTGGGCCTGCGCGACCAGGCCTTAACAGTTCTGGAAGCTCTCGGTGAGGAAGTGACTTATGAGCAACTCCTTGAGGCATTGGAGGCGAGATATGGCGACGCTCACCTGGAACACGTCTTTCGTGCGCAGCTTAAAGATCGCGTGCAGCGCATCAACGAAAACCTGCAGCAGTGGGCTCTAGAGGTGGAGAAGCTGGTGCGAAAAGCATACCGGTCTGTACCTGCTCTCATTGAAAGGAACCTGGTACAGACATTCATCGACGGCATCCGCGACCTTAAAGTCAGAGCTGCTGTGAGACTGGGGCATCACGAGACGCTTAAGGACGCCTTGGCCCATGCACTGGAGGTGGAAGCCGTGCGGCAGGATCATCGTTCCCATCGCGTCAGGGAGGTTGCAGCAGCTACAGTTCGCGACCGCAACAAAGGATAGAGC